TTTTTACTTTTCTCGATATTAAACAAATAATAGAGGTGCATTCGACGCTGCTCAATCATCGGGCGAAGATGCAGTTTTGAAATACAGAGCGGATCTAATTTTTGAGTATGAGACTTTGGTAAAACTATTTGGCAAAACACGCGAAGATTCACGTTACATTTACTACGTTGGAAAATCTGATGATCTAGATCAGTGGTTATCAAAAGTCGAAGAATATTCGTTAACGCATAAATCTTTGCTTGACGAAGAAGTCGATTTATCATCAGATTGGAGTATTGATTATGATCAAGACGAAGATGATAGTGATGATGACCTTTTATTCGATGATGCTATCAGTTTTCATAAGTATAGTGCTAACAAACAAAAAATGAAAGGCACTACGCAGCTTTTAAAAGTTGATAGTGAATCGCGAAGTGTTATTAGTGACAAAAAAGCCCTTCGGGAACTTGATACTAAAGGCATTAATGATTTACAAGAGAAGATTAAAAGTATGGAATATAAAATTGAAAAGATTTTAGAGTTGTTGGTAAAAGATTAGGAATGATAAATATATATAAGATATATTTTTTTTGATCTGTATTTAAACATATCGATATCAATTTTTTATATTTTATTTACAAATTAGTTCTTTACATTGAGAATTGTAAATATTTGAAAAGAAATTAAATCTATCAAATTCTCTAAAACCGCATGATATTGATACTGTATTCTATAGCAATATTGCATATTAATATCGCAACTGACTACTGAGTTATTATTTCGTGATGCATTGACATGATTTCGAAACCATGCATTATTATTTTTAAGAGTATTTCACGAAATACGATAAACACAAAGGAATTTAGTCTAATTAATTATTACTGTATCAAAAAAAAAAAGATTACGTTCGAAAAATACAAATCGCCAAAATTTTCTAACGTTAAAAATATTTAGCAGTTTCTATAAAATCCTTTATTATTAAAATTAACCCTAACTATAAAAAAAGCTAAAGAAATTCATCCTAAAATTTTGAATAAAAACATTTCCAATTTCAGTTCAGTTGTGACAATTAATAACCATGCCCATACGATCAAAATTTTATTTCGAGAGAAACATTATGTAATTTGCAAGGATGATATAATCTCGTGTGAAGATTCAAGAAAACCATTTTTTAAATGATGCATACGGTTGGCTCGGCTTGGCTCACGGATATACATGTTTGGCAAAACTATAAATCCTCAAAATCCCACCCAAATCCCAAATTCCAAATATAATAAAATTGTCCCAAATCCCAATCCCAAATATAGTAAAATTCGTCCCAAATCCCAATCTCAAATTCCAAATCCCAAATCCCAAATCCAAATAGTTTGCCAACATGTATAACTTTTGATCAAGCCGAATCAGCTACCCGGAATACATAACGATAATAATAATAATTTATCTGGGTAATCTAATAACAGGCCTACCAAATAATTGATTGTAGAGGAAATTAATTGCAATTATTTGACCCCAATTAATTGATTGGTGGCGCAGCCAATTAATTGCCATTTTTATTGCGGTTCGCAAATGTGATAATTTGACAATATATATAATAAAAAGCATAACATGCATAAGTACATACGTACGGTGCAAGAAATCTCAAAACCACAATCACCTTATAGAGACA